TTGTAGTTGTTGTTCAGTCGCACAGTCGAGTTTGACTATTTGCGACCCCATGGACCAGATCACGCCAGGCCTTCCTGTCTTCCGCCGTACTCTGAAGTCGGCTCAATTTCATGTTCGTTGCATCGATGACATTGTCTAACCATCTCATCCTTTGCCATCTCCGTCTTCTTTGACCTTCAATCTTTCCCAGCATCAGGGTCTTCTCCAGTGAGTGCTCCCTTCTCATTTGGTGGCCAAAGTATTTGAGCTTCAGTTTCATTATCTGGCCTTCCAGGGAACAGTCAGGGTTGATTTCTTTTAGGATTGACTGATTTGATCTTCTTGCAGTCCAAGGGACTCTCAAGATACAATTACAAGATACATTATAATACAGATCCAAAACCATATACACGTGCAAGAAGAGGTCCAAAACAAAGTCGTTTCGTAGTCTTCAACCAAACGGGACCATGTATATCTTTTAAGGCTGTAGAACTTCATTTTTTGCGTGTTGCATAATTCTATAAGCCAAACGATCAACAGTTTTCGTACTATTAAAGTGCATCTGTTTCAGGAATCGGGCCATCAGCATTAGTGAGTGGAAATGAAGCCTCAAAAGAAGAGAGCTGTTTCGAGAACTGCTCATGAGAGAACAGCTCCGAAAGAACTTGTGACTGATCCAAGGTAACACCAGCAGCTGCATGGGAAGGAGGGGGGAATCAAACCCGGTTCTCCCAGATTAGAGTCCACGCTCTTAACCACCACACCAAACTGGCTCTCACACAAAATTGGCTCTTGATTGAACCTGGAACCTTCTGCATGCAAAGCAGAGGCTCTTCCACTGAGTCACAGCCTGTTCCCTGACTATCTTGAGCACATAAAACAGCCTTATACTGAATCGGACCACGGGTTCATCAAGGTCAGTATTGCCTACTCAGGCCGGCAGTCGCTCTCTAAGGTCTCAGGTAGAAGTCTTTCACATCACATACCACCTGTTCCTTTTAACTGGAGATGCCAGTGATTGAACCTCGGACCTTCTGCATGCAAAGCGGAGGTTCTTCCACTGGGCCACAGCCCCTCTCCAAATTTGCATTTTGCCTCTGCCCCAGATTTGCAAATTTCTTTCCAAATAATGTTTTCTTTGCTACAGAATGTGTTTTCTGCTTTCAGTTTTAGGGCCAGTCTGGGTTGTCCAGGGCTGTGTCATTTTTCTATACGCCGACATTCCAGCAGAGGTTCTCATCGCAAGACGCAGACTACAAGAAACAGCAAAGACATTGAGAGACCATGAAATTCAGTATAGATGGCTTCCACTCAGCTACCTAGTGGTCAATCTAAATGGAAAAACTCTCATAGCTTACAATGAGACCACGGGCAAAAAACTTTTGGACGCAGTTACTAAGCAAACAGACAGAGGTGTTTGAAGGGGACAGTGGGTCTTGGGATTTGACAATGGCATATTAAGTTATGTGGAGAGCAATTAAAATAAATAAATATAAGTTGGGAACATAGAATTAGATACAAGGAGTTAACTATTAGAAAGGAGGAAATAATGTAGGAGTTGAAGTATTATAACAAGGGCATAGCAAGGAGGTGAAGGGTGTGCTCCCCCAAAGACCTCTGGTAAAAGGGTGGACGTTACCCTCCTGCTATAGGAATTTTCCCT